CCCCAAAACCCCAAAACCCCAAAACCCCAAAACCCCAAAATTCTGCCCAAAAATTGAAAATTTATTAAAATGCTAAAATGGCTACTCCTTCCGATCCCTGTGTATTTCGGAGGTGTTTATGCAGGAAAATACTTGATTGATGAACAAGCTAAGATGAGCTTTACTAAGAGATGTAAATTAGTAGGTCTAGGATCAGAGAAACACTTCGTAACTACTGAAGATGGGTACATCCTGCAATTGTTTAGAGTCACCTCTGGCGAGAGTCAGAGTGAATGTCCTCCCGTATATTTCCAGCATGGGTCACAGTCCTCAGCAATGGACTGGGTAGCAAATAAAGAGAAAAGCTCTCCATTCATACTTGCAAAGAACGGATATGATGTATGGGTAGCCAACGCTAGAGGATGAGCTTATAGTCAGTTCCATAAGTACCTTGACCCAAATGAGGATCCAGAATATTGGGATTTCTGTTTTGAGGATATGGCTAAATATGACACTAAAGCAGTCATTGAGTATATTAGGAAGAACAACGATCATAAGTAAAACAGTTAGATAATTTTAGGTCTCATAAAGTAAGCTATATTGGGCATTCACAAGGAAGTGCAATGATCTTAATAGCTCTATCTGAAGATTTGAAATGGTACCAAGATAAACTAAGTATTGGTATGGAATCTAGTTTATTTGAATTAAAATTTTAGCAATCGCTTGAGCCCCTGCTACAAGGATGGATGCCATCAAAGCAAAAACCTTAAAGAAAGTGTGTGAAAATGAATCAGTTCATAAACTGATTAACAAAGCCACTATCCATCAGATGCATCGCCCAAATGCAGTATTCAATGGTGCATGGTGTGGTTTATCTAAATTATGCCCACCCTTAATGAAAAAATCAATGAAATAAGTTCAATGATGCTGATCCTACAGTACTTTCTGCTTGACCTTTTAGGTAAATAACCTAAACTCTTGCCAGATATTCTGGTACCATCACCCAAGCGGAACCTCATTCAAAGCTCTAAAGCACTGGAGTCAGATCATAAAGCACGGAGAGTTCATAAAATTTGATTATGGGAAGGAGAAAAATCTAGAAGTTTACGGGACAGAGACCCCTCCCATGTATGATCTTGTAGGAATCCAAAAATCAAGTAAGACTCTCAACCACATATAGAAATCCCGATTGCCATTCTGTCAGGCAAGCATGACCTTCTCGCAGCCACTGAAGACTGTGAATGGACGAAGGCTCAGCTAGGAGAAAGCCTCGTTTTTGATAAAGAATATGACTATGGGCACATGACCTTTCTGTGTGGCAAAGATAATTCTTATATCTATGATATTATGAAGCTGCTTAAAGAGTATAGTCAGTAAATTCAATTCTGAGTCAAGAGAGAGGGGTTTTGGGGTTTTGGGGTTTTGGGGTTTTGGGGTTTTGGGGTTTTGGGG